CGAGCATGGATTTTAACCAAAACCTAATCAAAACCTAGCATTAGTTCAGAGCATCTATGTACCAAGTTTGATCAAAATCCAATGAGTGGTTCTTTAGATATCAGTGGAACAGTCACAGAACAGCTAAAAATTAGCTAATTATCATGCAAATTAGGTAATTAACGAGCATGGATTTTTACCAAAACCTAATCAAATCTGCGCATTGGCCCAGAGCATCTATGCACCAAGTTTCATCAAAAACCGATATATGGTTCTTGAGATAGCAGTGGAACAGTCGGACACACACTCACACACACCCATACAGACACACTAACTGCAAAGACTCCCATTTTGTGCTTCGCACATGGGAGTCAAAAATTATTGAATGCAATGATCATTTTTATTAGAGATACATGTATATATATAATAAAACAATCCAGAAAATAATTCACCATACATTAAGCTAGTTACCATTTAAACAGAATAATCAGATTTCCTTGAATTTTGCAATATGGTTTTCACCAATGTGTACAATATGCATGGTACAACTAAATGTGGCTGTAGCAGTGAAACCATGACCACACCCTTTTTCATGATGTTGCAATTAATTTACAATGTTTAATGAGCAAAATCTTAACGCAAAATCCAGACTTTATGTGAGTGGGAAAGCAGGCTATGGCGTTACCGACTGGAAAGCTTGAAATACCATACTATATTGGTTCTATTGGAAATACATTTTTATTAGTCACGCATTTTCAATACAGCCGCACTCAAACCACACTTTCAGAGTTTCCAATTATTTGCGACTGTTGACTTTCCATTTTGGTGTTCAAATTTTATTAATAAAATGTGTTTAAACATATATGAATAAACAAAGATTCACTTTAGTTTACTGCATGGGAAAATCTATAAATATTTCCCAAAATTAGCACAAATTCATAACGTTAAACATTTCACATAAAAGTATCCAATCAAACTTTATGAATAATCTCACATAATCACCTCAAAATTTAAATCAATAAAGGATTTGAGTGAACAAACTAGTTATAAGTACATGCACATTTTGTCTCAACACTGCTATTGAACTTCACATGCACTCAAGTTGAACATGGCCATTTGAAACAACAGCCATGCATGACAAGAACACCAAACAAAAAGTTCATAGATCACGCATGCAAAAGTCTGTATATAATGCTTTTATATGGTTTCCATTATTAGGGGGCACAATTTAAATCTACAGTTGGCTTCACTTAAAGGATCCTGATGAGAAAACATAATTATTGCGATCATTTACTTATAATGGTCATTAATCAAGAAATGTAAATTTGATAGACTTTGATTAAGTCATGACCCCAGTCAGAGACGTACAGTCTCTGTGTATTACCAAGTGGAGAGCTGACAGCCAGGCCGAGTGGATGGCTAAGATTCCCCTTGTCATCAATTCTATCTACAAAAACTCCATCCGGCTGAAATCGTTGCAGTCTGTTACAACCACCTCCAAAAACATCCTGAAACTCTGCTACAATCACATTGCCTTTCCTATCAACTGCAACCCCAGTCGGCCAAAAGATCTGCCCCTCCTTTTGTCCTCTTACACTCAGCTGATGCATGTAAGTCCCATGAGAGTCGTAAACTTTCACAGCTTGGCCTATACTATCGGTGACATAGACACAATTCCCATCTTGACTTGTAGCAGCATAGAGTGGGAAGCGGAGATCACCAGTCTCTTTTCCCGGCCCACCGATGGTATTCATATGTGTACCATACATATCATAGAAGACAACACTCTTAAAATCTCTATCAACTACATAAAAGCTACCATCCTCTTTGACTGTGATTCCCCATGGGCCATGGATTTCCTGATGGCCAACTTGATCAATCATCTGGCCATTACGGTCAAATACGACAATCTTACAATTACTGTAGTCAGTCACCATAATACTGTCATCTCTTGTGATTGCTACATCAATAGGGTCGAATGGTCTCTTGAAGTCATTATAAGTAAAATGGTACTTGTAATGCCCATGTCGGTCGAACACCTGAATTCTGCTATTACCGCGATCAGCGACAACTACTTCACCATTTGTCCATGCAGTGAGTCCACATGGCTCTTTTAACTGGCCTTCTTTGTTGCCAGTTTCTCCAATGGTAAGAAGAAGCTGTCTTGACAAAGACATGCTTGTTCATTGCAAATAGTTTCGACTAGCTCAAAATCTACAGGTATCCTCAGCTACGGTTTTCAGCTATTTACAGAATGTAATGGTATCACACGTAATCATTGACAGAAAAACTGTTGAGGAACATAAAAGAGAATCAAATATTAATATAGTCGGGGATTGAAATACCCTGGTGCACAATGTACTATGCACATAGATTATTAGCTAGTGCAAGTAAACTCAAAATATAATGTGCACGCTGTGCATGTAGAAATTAACACGTTTTCTCATTATATTCACTGAGCCTAAATTAAGTTCAACCAATATTGTAAGATAACTCAAAAAATACAAATTCTTTCATGATCGCATTGATCGAGAATCTGTAAATTTTATTAAAACTTTAAAATTGATGGCCATGCATTTCACAACAAGTTAGTGCAGGTAAATTTCAAATTCAACGTGCACACTGTGCATGCAGGGGAAAAATTCTATTTCAATCTCTGATAGTGGAAGTCGGCATGACCATTACTTTATGGGTAAGCAGGGTTTTTTCTAGAAAAAAAACTGCAAGAGGGAGCACTGCAATTCAGTTGTGCCACTAAGTGGGGAGATAGGGTTATTCCTGCCAGGGTGTGGAGTTTTTGATAATTCTAAGTTAAAATGGAGCATTCTATGGCTTCCTTAGAGCCAAAATTACTATCAGACAGGCCACAGTTGAAGACTGTGGCCCCATGTGATCTCAGGACAATCAGAATTTTATGGTTGCCAGCGGATCTTCTCCCCAGGGTAAGGGGGCGCATAGCCATGGCATGAGGGCGCTGCGCCCCTGTTCCCTTGTTACAAAAATTAAGGAATAAAATCTGCTCAATAAAATCCACACAAACATATGTAAAATTAAAATATGACTCATTGTGGCAAATCCAGTAGTTTTAAACTGATTGAATATACATCCAAATTACCAGAATAGTGAAATCAATTTTCAGTAAATAATTATCGCATTTATATTCAGATCACAAATGCACTTTTGGTGGAAAAATTTAAATAGTATTCACTAAATATAATCTAACATTCGTTATAGGCATTATTTCCATAGCGAATGAGAAGGCAATCTGAAAAATTGTTTCCTTCTGGAATAACCCATATAGAATTCCACAGTGTAGCATGAAAATTTTCTTGCTACCTGAAAGTTAATACGTTTCAATAATTTCCTTGCTTGGCACCGAACTGTAGTAAGGATACATGTAAAAAAAAAAGAAAAAATACAAAATTGCATAATCTATGAATCATTGTAAAATTTTTAATGGTTGATATCAAAATGATTCACCACCCAATGAAACCTTTTATGTGGGTTGTTTTGTGTACATACCAATAATAACATTTTGGCAAATTTAAATGGGGGGGGGGGGCAAGGGTTATTTTCGTTCAACGTAATTGCAATATTTTTTTGTTCGTACAACGTAAATTGAAAAAAATAAATTCCGTAATTGGGCCATTCCAGTTTATATCTGCACCCCCCTGTTGAT